CGGTGAGCCCGGTGCTTCGGGAAGGCTCTCAGGCCGGTGGGATTGAGCTGAGTGTCCGGCCGTGCCCCTCACCCGTGTCTCGTTTCAGGGGACGAGCATCACTTCGGGACCCCAGACTCCCTGACGCGGCCCCCTATAAAAGCGTACAGATCGCCAGGTAGGCTCCGATCCCAGGGCTGCGGAGAGGCTGGGATGGCCCTCGCTCAGGGAAATGGGGATTATTGGGTTTAACTCCTCGGCAGGTGTTACTGTGGCACGTAGGTGAGGAAATCCCAGCTCTTACCCCACAGACCAGGGATGGGAGGAGGAGCGATCCTTTTCAGCAGGGCACGCTGGAACCCTCAGGTGGCTGTTTTTACCCAGCGCATCACTTGGAACAGTACTTACCACAGTATTTAAATTTTACTGACACTGCTTGGTTTTGAAAGGCAGGATTTAAATAAGGTAAGCTGCAGGAATCGATCCCTGAGTGGCTGTGCTCCTTACTGGGAGCAGCATTGTTTATGAGGAAATGCAAAACTGGAGTTTTCCTTCCTTTGAAACACAAGGATGCTCTGGGACTTGCTCCTGGGCGCTGGACTGGACAAGCTGCTGTGTTAGCACTGTGTGGAAGCCACTTGTTGCTATGGTTGATGAAACTTGTGTCTTTCTCCGAGCTATAGAAACATGCTAACTCAGTGTAACACAGTCATGTGGCTTTAGCCTGTCATTCCACTAGGAAGCTGTGAATAAATTGTATTTCCTTCCTCTTTTCTCTGTTTTGGACTGTGGCAGTGCTCAGGGATGCATTGGGCTAGCCTGAGACAGTTCTCCGTTCCCATCTGTGTTTTTGTCACCAGGAATTGCCTGCCTGTATTCTGCTCCAGAAGCAGAATTTCCAGGAGGCATAGGGAAAAAAAATATCTTGTTTTGAGGAAGGTTATAAGTATTTCTTTAGGCAAGTAGAGAGGTTTGTCTGTGAAAAAAAGCTCTTGCTCCCACATGGTGGCTAACAGGGTATGATAGGCTCAGTGTTTTAAATGTGGCTGTGCTGCTTCAGGAGGTGCAGCTGAGGGTTGGGTTTTTAATTAGATGGCTCTAAAAATGAGGCTCCTCTCCCTCCCACTCTCCCCAGCTCTTAGCAGGTGCAGTGGATTATAGGCACAACAGGTGTAAAAGCATGATAACAGACTCTAATTGTTTATATAGCAGCAGAGGATTAGTTTCCCCCCCATCTGTAGATGTGCAGTATTTTGCTTTTCCTGCAGAGTTTAGGGGATGGTCTGTGAGGCAGGGCAATAAGCAGGCTGGGTTGTTGGGGGAGCAGAATTGTCCTGCTTCCCTGAGAACAGAATGGAAGCAAAACCACACCATGAGAAACTGGTTCCTGGCCTCTGCTGAGAGGTTTTAAATACAGGTTGGGCAACTTGCCTGGGGAGCTGGAAAGTTTTAAGAGCTTTAGGAAGAGCTTGCAGAGTTTTAAAAGCCTAAAACTCCTGCCTAGAATCAGGGCAGCCTCTAGATCAGTGAGCTGAAGATGCGTGCTAGCAATCTCCATGGAAGTTGTCTTACATTGACCTTTCTTTCTACAACTTCTTAGAAGTCTCTGTAACACAAAAAATAGTGATTGATGCCAAGAAGGGGAGAGGAATTAAGAGCAGGGACTGCCTGAGTAGCCCTCCTTAGATTCATAGGTATTTTTGGTCTTCTGGTCACAATTACTAGGGAGATTTTCATTGTAAAACTTGGGTACATAGTGAAATATTATGGATATGTAGTTTGGCATTCCTGAAAATAGTTTGGTGAGGATCTTTGTGGGAAATCAGTCACTTAACAGCTTTTTACGATGGGTTTAGAACATAGGGCCTCATTAACCATGTGGAAACACTTACCTGTTGCACTTACCATAGTTTAAAACTTACAGCTTTTTCCCATTTTTTGTGGTTTGGATGGGTCTAGTGGTTTTGTTTTTCTCCTTAGTATGTTTGACATACACTGGTGTGTGCAACTGCCAGAGCACATTAGAAAAAGGCTGTTTGCTTAGTTGAAATAAAATTACCAAACACTAGGTGGCAAGCTGTGCATTGCCCTTGGCAAGTGGTACAAGAGCTACAGAAACCCACTGAACCCCAGCTGGTTAAAGAGTAAAAGGGCCCAGAGTGAATGTCAGAAAAAAATTACACATTGTATTCTTCCCTTTGCTGTTTGCTGATGCTTGATAGCTGTGCCACAATATATGTTCCCCAACTGTTCTACAGCTTTTTATTCCATACCTGAGCGTTTTCTGGTCAGCCCCTTGGTTCTGGGGTTGCACTTTATCCTTTCCTGCATTTGGTTTCCCAGCCCTGACCTTTGCTCTGTGACCTCTGATATCCTGCAGGGTTTACTCTTTCTAGTTAGTGACATTAACTAGGCTGGGTTTCACAGCTGAAAGGCTCTGTAATTTGGCAA